AACAAAAAATTATTTATAATATGAAGAATTTTTTTTTGGAAACAATCTTCAAAAAATATTTAATAAAAACAAAAAAAACTAAACAAAAGAATGTTGTGAAATTAAATAAAGAACATATAAATATTATTTAATTAAAATTGAAAAAAATTAATTTTTTTCATAAAGAAAAAAGAATTAAAAAGTATTTTAAATCGAAAAAATATTTATAATATGAACAAAAGAAATAAAAAATAAATAAATGAGGAAAAAATAAAAAACGAAAAAAAAAACTCCATGCATCTTGCGATAATCCAATGAATCAAATGATTGGATTTCATCAAATATTTCAAATCTTCAACTAGTTTTGAAAAATCTTCAATTTTGACGCTAATATCTTTAATTTGTTAAATCATTTAGTTTTTTTTATAATATGAAGAAAAAAGAATTTGAATCATAGAACGAAAATAATTTTAAATCAAACAAAAAATTATTTATAACATGAAGATTTTTTTTTTAAACAATCTTCAACAAATATATAATAAAAACAAAACAAATTAAACAACAGAATGTTGCGAAAATTAAATAAAGAACATATAAATATTATTTAATTAAAATTGAAAAAATTAAGTTTTTTCATAAAGAAAAAAGAATTAAAAAGGATTTTAAATCGAAAAAAATATTTATAATATGAACAAAACAAATAAAAAATAAATAAATGAGAAAAAAAAACAACGAAAAAGAAATCCCTATACATCCTGCGATAATGTCATGAACCAAACGATTAGATTTCACCAAATACTTCGAATCTTTAACCAGTTTTGAAAAATCTACAATTTTGACGCTAATAAAAATACAATAAATACAAAAATCATACAACGCACGTGTCAAAGACTAGTGTGTATATGTATATATATATATATATATATATATATATATATATATATATATAAACAAAATTTAGAAAAGAATATATAAAGAAAATATATTTTAGGATTTAGGCAAGAAATTTATATATAAAGAAAATAAATTTTAGGCAATTGAATTGCCTAAAAACTATTTGCATTAAAATTGTCGATTAAATGTATTTGATTGATTTTATTTTCAACCAGAAAAATGTTCTACATGTCTATTTTTTATTAGTAGACATACAGGGGGGGAGAGAGAGAGGGTGAGTGAATTATCAAGAAAAAAAACCCTACTCCTGTAAAGAAAGTATTTTTCAAGGTGACCAAAAGTAAAAAAAGTATTTTATGAAAAAAATATCAATCAAACAGTGCAATAGTAGAAATTTTAATAAAGAAGATATATTATTCATGAAAAATATTGACAATTAAATGTACTCTTAATTTTTTTATCTCTACTATATAAAAAAGGGAATGTGAGGGCACTGTAGAAAGTAATAGTGTCTTGATCCATCTTTATTATAGCAACAGTTTGCTTTTTCTTTTTTTCTTTTTTCAATTTGGGGGCAAAAAACGACACCGTTTGCTTGATATATATTTTACTTTATTGTACACTACCTCCAAATTTACTACAACACGCAATTTCCATTCCTCCCCACTCCGATATAGATATATATAGTAGGGATATAAGAAAAATATCACTTTTATATTAAAAAAAAAGATAGAGATAATATGCTAGAGAAATTTTTTTTACAATTGCTCCGTGCACGGAGGCATTAGTCTCCATGCACGGAGGGGAAAAGAAAAAAAAATATTGCTTGGGCCTTCGTGTATGGAGACAAAATTTAGAGAAATAATTTTTTTTATTATTATTTTTTTTATACTTATGTTTTTGTGTTCATTTTCAAGCTCATTACGGGATATCAAACGAAATCAAAATATTACATTCTTAATATTGTTTTGAAGTACTCACAGCATAGTATTACATGTCGTTGACGATGCATTTTCAAACTATATTTCAAAATTTTCGATAACAAATTAATTTTAAAAATTCATCAAAAATTGTACGATAGTCGAATCGATAAATGTTTTACATTCTCTCGAAACTCATTTCGAGAAATATATCTTAGAGATATCGAATGATCTAAATAGATATCGAAAATAGTTAAACGGAGATTAAACGTATGTGTTAAAAAATACGCATAAGTCGTTTTTCTTAAAAAAATCAATTATTTTATTACTATTTCGAAATGTTCGATAACAAGCTAACTTTAAAAATTCGTCGACGATTGTACAATAATCGAATAAATAAATGTTTTACATTCTCTCGAAACTCATTTTGAGAATTATATCGTAGAGATATCGAATAATCTAAATAAATATCGAAAATAGTTAAACAGCGATTAAACGTATGTGTTAAAAATGCGTATACGTCGTTTTTTCTTAAAAAATCAATTATTTTATTACTATTTATTCTTTTTTGCAACAATTTTCTCAATACATCATTTTGCTCAAAAATATGACGGAAATTTTTTTCTCCATGCACGGAGGAACGCGTCGTTTTTGCTCCCCACTTGGAAAAAATGAAATTTTAAATAATTGAAAATTTTTTTGCGTCATAACGCATAATTTTTTTTGAGCAAAATGATGTATTAAGAAAAATGTTACGAAAAAATAATAAATAGTAATAAAAAAATTGATTTTTTAAAAAAAACGAGAATAATTTCAGACAATATTTAATTTTATAGTAATATTTTTAGTAATATTGAATTTTTTAAATTAAATTTATCTAAATATTACTTTAGATTAAATATTAACTCAAAGTTTTAAGTATATATTTTTTAAAATTTATATATATATATATATATATCATTGTAGTTAGTTTATAAAGTATAAAAAAGTATTGACTTTTATTTAAAAAAGAAAAAAAAATAGAGGAAGCCTCCGTGCACGAGACATGAGGTCTCCGTTCATGAGAGAAATTAATTTTTTTTATACTTATGTTTTTATGTTTATTTTCACGCTCATTACGGGATATCAAACGAAGTTGAAATATTACATTCTTAATATTGTTTTGAAGTACTCGCGACATAGTATTGTACGTCGTTAACGATGCGTGAAACGGTCAATCATAGCAAATGTTATGCGACGTCAAAGTAGGCATTTTCAAACTATATTTCGAAATTTTCGATAACAAGCTAACTTTAAAAATTCATCTACGATTGTACGGTAGTTGAATCGATAAATATTTTACATTCTCTCCAAACTCATTTTGAGAACTATATCATAGAGACATCGAATGATCTAAGTAGATATCAAAAAAAGTTAAACGGACATTAAACGTATGTGTTAAAAAATACGCATAAGTCGTTTTTTCTTAAAAAAAATTAATTATTTTATTACTATTTCGAAATTTTCGATAACAAGCTAACTTTAAAAATTCATCGACGATTGTACAATGGTCGAATTGATAAATATTTTACATTCTCTCGAAACTCATTTTGAGAACTATATCGTAGAGACATCGAATAATCTAAATAAATATCGAAAATAGTTAAATGGAGATTAAACATATGTGTTAACAAATGCATTTTTTCCTTAAAAAATTCAATTATTTTTTTCTTTTTAATTCTTTTCTCTTCCAAATAAAACTTAATTTTTCAGTTTTAATGAGAAAAAGTTATTTGTAAGTTAAAAAAATTGAAGAGAAAAGAATTAAAAATAATTATACATAGTGTAGTCTCCGTGCACGGAGGATTATTTAATTTTTTTTTTTTTGTACTTTTCCGTTATCTATTTTCATATGCTATGGTCACGCTTTTTCAAATCAACTCATTTGCTAATATTATTATATTATATATAATAATATAATGTGTGACAAATGCAATGTGAATTTATGTAACACGCAACTTTTCATACCTCCCGCCTTACTCTGTGCTGACCACTTTTATAAGTAAAAAAAAATATCACTTTTAGTAAAAAAAAAAATTAAAAATAAACATATTAACAAAAAATATTTCTAATATATGTAAAAATTACTTATATAAGTAAAAAAATTCGTTTAAAATTATTTAGAAGTAAAAAATAAAATAAAGTTATGAAAATTAAGTGAAGAATATATAAATATTATTTAATTAAAATTGAAAAATTTACTTTATAAATAATTGGTTTTTATATCAATTTATTTAAATTTCTTTTTAATTCTTTTCTCTTTTGAATAAAATTTATTTAAATTTTTTTTTCAAATTCTTTTGCCCTACCAACCTTGAAGTGACTGTTGTATCGTCCGAAAAATAGGCCTGCTATTAGGGTTCTAATTCTTACACCAACAAGGGAGTTGGTCATCCAGTAAGTGCCACTTCAAGTTATTTTATGTGCGACCTTGAGTTTGTTATTTAAACGTTTTTGTATGTGGATATTCTCTTTCAATTTACAACTGCATGTGTTATTTTTGAACTACAAGTATAGCCTCTCGAATCGAAGTTGCTAAAGAAATGCATTTTGCGAAATTCAATTTACAACTTATTTGCAATATCAGATAAAAAAAAATAATCTTCATCTACACTAAACAAAAAATACAACAAATAATTAAAAATACATTATCGTTGACATATATACACTCACAACATTCATTATACTTATTTATAAGAATAAAAATAAATTATCGTGACATAAAATATTTAGTCAACCAAAAGATAAGAATCAAACAAACATTTCTTATTTTCAAATACTTTTTGTACAATTTATAAATTTTACGCCAATAAAACCAAAATAAATACAAAATTCGTGTAATGCACGAGACGCAGACTAGTAGTAATACTTAAATTTACGACTCATCTAATTTTTTTTATTTATTACTTGATTGATTAACCCGTTAAAAAAATTAAAAAAATTAGGTCTTGTTTGAACCACATTATTTTAAAAAAATATATTCTTAAACAGTGATTTGACATCATTTTAATCATATATTTTTAAATAAAATTATATTATACGTAAATTTAAAATTTTTCTTTATTTTTTAACCACATATTTTTTATTAATTTGACATAAATAATGTATTTTTTTCCCAAGCTCAAGCATGGGCTTAGTAAGAAAATGAAGATCTCGTAACCCAATTAAAAAGGCATACATATGCCATTAGAACCCATGCCTGTTCAAGTCATATTCATGGAGCAGAGGCGAACAAGCGGCTAAGGTTTTCTTCCTCGGAATTACGCTAAAAACTGGGGGACAGGAGAAATTGCACCAGTTTATCTTGTGCAGCAGTGATTTCTACTCAACTTCTTCGTCAACAAAGTTGGAAGGTAGTATAGGATTTTTATTACCGTGAAACGGACTTTATATGTTGAAATCACATTCGATCTGATTGTTGGGAATGATGAATAGAATTTTCTCTTGATTTGAGTTTCGATCAATTGAGTGGCTTTGAACATGATAGATAGGTTTTCTCTCGCATACACATGCTTACATATGGAAAGTTGTCGTCTCTTATAAAAAGAGAAAAATTCAGTTGATTTTCATGAAATATAGAGTGATTTTTGACATTAATGGACAAATCCAGTTGGATTTTCATTAATTTTCAATTTCTTATTTCAACGCTATAATGTTGAATTTATTGTTTACTAATTTTCTGACATGTCCTGTTTTGCTTGCTATAACTAAACTTCAGTTATATTTTTAATATCTTCTAAGAAACGAAGGAGATAAAATCTTAGTATTTATGGACTTGCAAAAATTGAAAATTAAGATGAGTTGTTGATCCCATGTCTGCATATTTTTAACTTACTCGGTAATGTTTATGTAGCATTGTGACTTGGGTTAAAGGCTTCTCGCAACAGCTAATAAAAGCTAAAAGTAACTGTTCCTTTGCGAAGGATGTCCAGTTCAAGCAAGGATATTTATATTCCAATGTTCTCTGGAGAACATTTTGATCATTGGTCAGTTAAAATGAAAACAATTTTGATATCGGAAGATTTGTGGGAATATGTAGAAGACGGGTATGAAGCACCCAACCCGACTTTGATGCTGACTGCGGAACAGAAGCAACAATTGAGGGAAAATAGAAAAAATGATGCCAAAGCTCTTTCTATTATTCAACGAGGTGTTTCATCAAGATTCTTTCGTACAATTCTCAATGCAAAAACAGCTAAGGAAGCTTGGGACAATCTACATAAGGAATTGCAGGTAAACTTCAAGGTATAGAATATTGTGCTCCAAAGCTTTAGAGAAGGTATTTTAGGAAACTTGAATGTGAAAATATGTTTGTTATTTTATTATTATTATTATTATTTTTTTTTTTAAGGCAGATCCGATATTTCATAATTACCTTGATCACAAGTTTGTAGTGAATGAGAGATCACGTGTAGATGCCCAGAGCAATAAATTTTGTACATTTGATGTCCAGCATGTCATTGCCTACAAAAATGTATTTGTATTGATATATAATTTACTGATAGACCAGCGAATTTAGAAGGAATTCTCTATTGATTAAAACATAGATAATTCACCCATAGAAATACAAATACAAATCCGTTGAACTAATGACTTAAATTATCCACAAGATGCATCCACTTTCCGCTTGATCTGAATCATTAATTTCCATTTTATCTTCCTTTTAATTTAAGGAGGATAAAATTAATCTCGTATAGAACACTTACATCGTCAATATCTTTTAAGCATTTTATACCCTTTCCGACATCTTGTCCTTTCTAAAGGAATTATTGACTTAAATCATGCACGAAGAGATTTTTCTCCACCACAAGCTTTTGGAGTATTGAGAACCTTCTCCTTAGGTATACTCCTCAGCCGAATTGCATGGACATATCAACTAGGGTGAAATGTCCATGTTCGATACATGTCATTTTGGATACTGACACTCTTTTGGACACTTTACCATATTTATTTTTTCTTGTTTGTAGTAATATATATTATTTAACCCAAAATTCTTATAATATAACAAATTTGTATTCTTGTTTACAAAAATTTCAACAAGATGAATCTATAATAAGTATAAAACTGAATGTGATACCTATGTTGCTCGAATTCTCCAAAAATGGAGAAGTATCGGTGTCGATACGACATGACACACATACCGACACGGGATACGGATCGGATCCTTGGTTTTGCAATCGGACACGGCAGCAAAACGGAGAAGACAATGGAAGGTGGAGTCTTTCTTCTGGCTGCACTGAATTTCATCCATGGAAATGTAGTTATTCAGCCTTGCGTTTGTCTATAGATGCTTCTGGATTTCTGCTTCTAGCCTTGGAAGAAAGAAAACAGTTGGGGAAAGAAGACGAAGAGTGAGGAAGAAGATGAAGGGTTGCCTAAAGAGGGCTAGGACTGAAATGTTTTACAAGGGCTTTTGTTAAGTCCAATGCATATAATTAATGAAATTACAATTATTTTATTGGGATAAGTTGTATGGTCAAACTCATTTAATTTGAGTTTATTTTTGTATTAATTTTTTATTTCTTTTATTTATCTAAATGAGGTGGTTATTTTGTAATTAAAATAATTTAGTGCTATATCTTTCTTTTTTTTATATTAAATTTGAATTTATTTTTATATATATATTTTTTAAAATATATAGGACATTTACATTGATTTTTTCCTTTAATTTTTTTGAAATGTTATTTTTTAAAACGTATCCTCGTACTCGTATCCAAAATTCAGATCCCTTTTAGCCGTATCCCCTTATCTTAATTTTTATAATGAGAAGAATCTGACTCCTAGATATGTACCCGTATCCGACACCCGCACCCGAGTCCAAGCAACATAGTGTGATGCTATAAAAATGAATAATTATTAAAGAATTTAATTGACGCGTCCTGTTAGTACTTTTTTTAAAAATCGCATGTTGACGTGTTCGATATATGTCAGTGTCAGTGCATCATATCTCCTGAGTAACTACCTTCCTTAGGTACTGGCTTTAAATTCATATAATCAATTCCAGCTCATTGTTCCTTCTTTATCCACCTGTAAACCCTCATTGTTCCTTCTTTATCCACCTGTAAACCATGCAAATATAGTGTCGTTACATTCGAGGCATAGGAACATAAATAAATCTGAGCGTTTTCCTCTCTTTGCACAAAAATTTAGCTTTTACTCTGAATTTTATAAAGCTCTTTGTTATTTTGTTCAGATGGATGCGTCGACAATTGCTGCCCAGAAGGTTGATAATTCTCCAAGGATGGAGCCTATGCTAAGCTCTTCTTCAACTCCTTTGATTGAGCATGTAAGTACACCTCTCGTGGAGAAACCCTTGGATGACTTCTTGCAGTCAAAATCGAACATTGAACCCACATGTCTCTTGGAAATTATTTACCTTAAAGTTCAGAATTTATGATATGTGATATTGGTATAAACCAAATAATCTTGTTTATTTAAGGTAGTTGATCGTCTTCTCTAAATGTTACTTGCTATTTACGATGCAACCTTGGAAAGTTGCTTACTTTAATTGAAAAAAAAAAATCATTTTGGGTATTTATATGATAGCTCTTAATAGGGTAGTAATCATCTGTGAGAAGCAACATTTTTAGGTAGCTAATACATATATAGAATAAACTTTGAAGTATTTTACATGATGGAGGTTTCCTTGTTTTAAGTTCATTTATTTAAACTTAGAAGTTGATTGTGTTCATTTACTTGATACTTCAAAGTTGTTCTTACAATTTCTCTTAATACTTCTACATTTAAAGGGTAAAGCTTTTGACTTCTTGGAGTGATAATCTATCTCATGTTGGCCAAATTTGATCGAACATCCTTTTAAGATGCTTATAAAGAGGTAGTAACACGTTTCTTCTATATGTAAAATGTAATTTTGGTGTTATATAACTATGAAACTAGAAATGCTCACCTGATCATCTGTGATAACGTTAGTAAGATTGTGAAAGATCCCTTTTATAAATAACAATGTCTTATGTCCCATACGTTTGGGTCGGTTACAGATTATTTCCACACCACTCCATCTCATTTTTATAGCTTTGTTTGTGAAGAACCAACTGGACCATGTTAGTTTTATATCTTTAGGTTTATATGTTCCTGACTAATTAGCCTATTCTACCTACATTTTATCACTAGCATGAACTTTCTTTAGATTTATATGTCCTGAACTAAGTCGTCTTCTCTTATATTGTTTTCCCTGTTATTTTTCATTATCTTTTGTTTTCTTACATCAAAAAGCTACATTTCACTTTACGTATTTACCCTTATAGTTTGTCCTTAAGTTCTTTCTTAAACTATTCACTTGCATTACCTGGCTCTATTGTTGCTTAATATTTTCTTCTGGTTTAAGGACAACATCTCAAATCACCAACACTTCCTTCTTAAGCTAGTTCACTTGCATTACCTGGTTCTATGGTTGCTTAGGATTTTCTTCTGGTTTAAGGACAATATCTCAAATTACCAAGACAGAAAAGTGTTGAAGAATTCATCAATTCAGGCATCCTTCTTTGATGCAACATTTGATAATAAAAACAAGTTGATTTAATAAATGAAGAAACTCTATAATCATAAATTGTAACCATAAAATTTTATTTTTTATTTTAATAATGTAATTAAGCCAGTTCCGATAACAAGAAACCAGGAGTTGAATTTTGACACTTTATCGGGGCTACTTGTTTGATTTGGAGAATGGAGCTGCAACAGGGAGAACAATCTACCTATTAATTGTAACGAAGTCTTCTGTATTCCTGACTAGTATTGTAATTTAATGTCAATAATGAATTTGTTAGAACTCAAAGAAGAAACCCAATAATCGGACATTTTACCTGTTCTCTTCCCTTGCTGGTTGTCAGTTTTTGCTTTTTAATTTCAATTCATAGCTAGGTAGGGTCCACCATAAGCTTCTATTAAAAACTCCTAAAGCGTCTCTCTGTAATCTGTTTCAGAAGGTTGAAGGCACATCAAAGCCCAAGCCTATGTTGAGCAGCCCTGATATATATCATCTGGATGAGGAAGGAATTACCCCTCTTTTGGAGCTTCCCTTTTATGACTTGATGCTCTCGAAAGCTCATGTGGGACCTACATATCAGATGGTAGTTTATTTTTATTCTTAATATATATATATATATATATATATATATTCTCAAATATGTTGTTCTCTTGCACTCACCTTATTACCATATTTGAAAATGGTGAAGGTTGATTATTATTTACAGGTATAAAATAGTTCTTTGTACTGGTCAAATACTAATGCACTGTTAAAGTGTGGTGATCATCCATTGTACAGAGGATTGCTCATTTTACAAAATTAGAAGCTGATTGTGTTTGTTTACTTTATGCTTGCAGAGCTTTCCTCCGAGTTTGGATTCCAAACTACCTTCTACTACAGTCCCATCGATCATAAAATGCTTTGGCAAAACATGGGAGTTAAAATTCTGTGGGGATATGACACCAAAATGCTTTGATTCGAGTTGGAGAAAGTTTGTGGATGATAACAATCTAGTGGTTGGTGATGCACTAATTTTTGAGCTCCTGGAAAGCAGTTCTGTAAAAGTTATGTTTAAAGTTCAATTTCTAAGCTGCGCAATTCCACCAGAACTGCAAGAACAGATAAATAAGAGTAGAGCTGAACGTCAAGCAATCATTATCGATGACGAGTAGGATATCGAATGGTTTCTGATTGAGAACTATTTGTTGAAAATTTGGAATATTGAATAAGATTTGGTGTTTCAAACTCTTTTGTCATGTCTTTGTAGTTTTTTATTAGCTTGATCTCTACCATTCATAGTTACAATGTTGTTCTTATACTCCTATAAATTCTGTTACTTCTGGAGTAATATCAATTTTGTCATTGCATATCAGCTGAAAGAGAACACAGATGGGAATTCGGCAACTTTGAATTTCAGCTCTCTTTCGAATGCATTGCAATCAATGTTTAGGCCTTTACTGTCATACTATTCTTTGAGTTTGATTCACTTTTAACAAGTATTGACGTGGTCTTTGTAGTTGATTATATCATTTTAAGTCTTCAGTGTTGCATCTCAGCTAAAAGATTACTCAAAGAAGGCTTTTCGGAGTCCACAATAATCAACTTCTAATCTAATTTTCCTTCCAGAGTTCCAATTTTCAAACTGCAGAGTTTTTGTCCAATTTTTATGATATTGGTGATTGTATAACTCACGGTGCTAAATGCTGGCAATTCAAATCCTCTTGCTACCTGAGTGTAGGGGTGGAGCAGTGCTTGTGATGTGTTAAGCATGTTGCCAGTGTTAAAGGAAAAACACTCTAATCTCCTATCAGAAAATTTCCCAATCTTACCCCGAGCAGCCGGGGTTACTCTAATTAGGCTTTTGAAGAACTTGTTTTCCTTGTTTGGTAATTGTAATCGATCTGATTAACCAAGAGATCTTTCCAATCCTATCCAGCACACCAGGTAGTTTTTTGTGATTTGTCTCTCGTCGTTTGCACAAAATACATTAATGAGATTCTAGATTAGATTCTTTAATAGATTATGACCTTTTTGAGAAGTCTCCTTGCTATCAGTTTGTTTGTTTCTTTAACAGCACCAATCAGAAGCGCACTTTATGATTTCAAACAATTGAATCATTGAAACATGGGAAACAAATAATGAAGGATCAAACTAAAGAAAGAACATTTACATTCTGAACACTCGTCACTCACCATCCACCTAAAGGAACAAAATGGCTACAACAATGAGGGGTTAGAGTAATCTGTCGATATGGCGTAATTTGACTAATCCATACTTTTTTTCTAATGGGCATATGGTTCTCAAAATATTTAACTTTTGGTTGTCTATTGCGCATCAAAAATTAGGAAAAAAGAGTTCCAAGACACCAGCTAGATGACTTAAAATTGGAGAAGAAACAATTAAGAAAGACTTAAGTATAGTAGCCATGATGACTTAAAAGTGGAGAAGAAATAATTAAGAAACACTTAACTATAGTAGCCATTTATGTTAACACATTGAAATTCTTTATTATTGGAGTAGAGCCCTTATCTCTGGAGATAATCCTTGTGTTCCATATTTGTCATCGCAAAAAACGTGGTTCGAATTTGATATATTTGTGGAATACTCAACACCTAGTCAAGAGGGGAAAATGTGTAATAGAGTTTGATTAATGAATTTGAACTTTTTGTTCAGTTGTGTAGATTTTTCTTTTATGTATGTATATACATTTCCTTCTCTTTTGTTAAACAACATTTTACTGAAAGAAATCTGGTTATTTTAATGTTTGCAGCATGAGAGGGAATCAACACAAAAAGACTATTTGTGTAACCAATATACCAGGCAGAGTTCATTTGTGAACTCATCTAACATCTTTTGAGCTTTCTGATGCAAGACCTGTGAAAGTTGAACCAGCATGTGATCAGTTCCAAGTAGCTCCAATTTTTCAAGTTTGATTAAGACTAAACCAGAAAAGCTACAGCTTGTCATGTGTGTTGGAGTTCATCCCAGGAAGATCCAGCAATCTGTATGATCACAAATGGAGGTAAAAGTCATTTATTTCCAGTTTGTTGAACTGTTCCAAATTAGACTGCTGATATTTTCTCATGGATAGGTTACCTGATCCAGAGCTTTGGCACACCAGTACTCTATTTTAGATCTGATTTATTACTATATGCATTCAGAGCTTGGATCATATGAGCATTCATCCATCAAATTTACATTATAGATTGATTGAAGCTATTTGCAAAATTTGATAGGATATATATTTTTTATTCCAGACCAAGCTACTAGTGATAATCACTCTATATTGGTTGCATGATATAAATGTTATTTAATTTTTTTTTTAACTAAAATCAATTTGGAATCTTGGATATTACCACAGATGATCAGGTGAACATTTCTAGCTTAATTCTCACCAGATATCTTAATTCCGTTGTTGCTTAACTCGGTATATTATTTTCCCAAATTTTTGTACTGGCTCCCTGGGAGCACTGCAAGAATCTCATTTTGATCCTAAATTCTCAAATTTTGCTATAATGAACAAACTCTATAGATGTTAAGAGGGTAGGGTAGCCTTCTCTGTCCCGCACTTCAATGGAGTTTTTTGAAAGGCAGGACAGAGATATGGTCTCACTTACTCATTTATTATTAGTTATTAACTAAATTACAAAGGTTAAAAAAAAAAAAAATAATAATAATAATAATTTTTGGGGTGGGTAACTAGTTGAGGAATCCCTGTCACATTCAGGACGTGACAATGCAGGGTGGGACATTTTGTTAACACATGGGTCTCTACCTCATATTTCTCTTTGTTTATAATCCTTTTTCGTTGTTCTTTCTATGAAATTCTTTGGTTATTTGTGTTATGTAAATCTACCTATCATGCTTATGTTGGTAGAATATTTGATTTCTCAACATGCAATTTATATTGCCACATCTAATTACAAAGTCAATTGCATTGATATGTTGATTGTATCAAAATCGTATGTGGAATTCCTTGTTTATTGCAATTTTGTTCAATTATAAACCAAACCTGCCATATGTGGGTTTCAAATTAGAGTAAATACAATGACAGACCTTAAACTAGAAACCAAGAACATAAATTATTTCATTTATTGGAAAAAACTTTTAATGGGAGATAAAGATATTAACAAAAAAGGTGAAAAATTATCAAAAGCCTTTGATATGGAGTATCAGAACATACAACCTGTTCGAGCTGGCATTCTCTTGAAGAAATTGCTAGGAACATATGGTAACTTGCTCCGAAACCTGGGGGGTCGCAGAATATACATTCCCGCTACTAAAGCCACAATTCGAAATGGAGTCGCATAAAGAACCACTGATGCACATAGGCAGAATAGAATGAATAGATTTGTAGCTCTCGGGTCTGTCCAGCTAAGCAGACTCTGAAATCTCTCCCCCTGTGTGGATATGTCTCCCACTACTGTCTGAATTCTACTGCTACAATTCTTAGCCTATCATACCTCATTCGAACAGCATCATGGGGCCTAGATATAGGGAATGTGTCAAATTCTTCATCAAGCTCGTCCAGGTGCACTGCTTCTGCCCAGGAAGGCTTTGTGTCCATTGAGGTGGATGCCTCGGACGATACCTATAGTTCCATAGTCCTATGAGGAACATGTAGAGGCAGACCGTTGGCAGTATCAACTCAGGGTAACAGATTAATATCAGAAATAGAATGTGGACTATAACTGATGTTACGGGATTCTTCCACTGACGAACATCGGTAAACCATCGATTCACAGATATATTACCAGAAAGAAGTGATGTGATTCGGAAGAAGTTAGCCTTGCTTCTTATACTCCACATATGAGATTAGACATCCAACATGTATTCCACCAGCTCGACCAAGCGTCACAGCAACAATATTCGTAGTCTGGAATCTCAAGTTGTTTACTTGATTGATTGTGGAAGGATGTAAATGCATATGGGGCAATAAGGGGTGCCCATATACGCATATCTTGTTAGCCAGGGACAGGCTAGTGAATCTAATTGCAAGTTGGAGGTCACCCATTTTCTTAACCCCTGATGGGTGCAATACAAGAAGAGGATAAGAATGTGTATAGATGTAGTGAGCTTCCAGGGTAGAGAGTCTTATGCATACCTTCCCAATCCGTGAGTCTTTGTATCCACCAGCACCAGGTTTGACTTCCTAAGTGGCAATTGTCGAAGACCACCAATGTTATGACTGTACATGGATCATAGACTTCCCAAGTGTATTGTTCATTCCATTTGGGTCTGAAATTGTTGAGAGTAGTTGGTGTTCTAACCCTTTTTGGCCATATTTGGCCACACAGTAAGCATCTGTAGTTGCCTTACCATCCTTCATCTTCATAGGGAGAATGTGTACCTAATATTCCTACTTCTAGTATTCCCACTGGTGGCTTCCAAAGCTACTTTGCTGTTGGCCATAGATCGCTTATGTACATTGCTGATTCGTCCAATATGTGGTATCCATCTTCAAGACAAACCCCCAAGTGTATTCAGCTTGAAAATTTAAGCTCTTGCCTCCTATCAACTTCCAGGACACCGAGCCCGTACTTTTCATGGTTGAACCAGAGAGACTGCACAGGCCGGTGATCTAGCCACTTGTCGAAAGTAGTAAGAGGTAGAGCTATTGTTCCCAATATATCATCTTTTGAAGGGTGAACCTGATCCTCAATTGTTAGGACAAGCTGCTCTTCAAATGGCTAAGTAGCAACAAAAATTATATCTTCATTCCACATAGGGTTTGCGGTTTGAGTTGGGCATATACCAGTTCTGAGGACTTGATTTCCCACCTGGACTTTCACAAATACTTCTGGGAGGCGACTACTGTTGTTAGGAATCATGTCCTGAGAATCAATCATGTTTACTCTCAAATACCATAGTTGTGGTGAGACATAGACCTTGGACCTGATAATGAAAACCCCCTCTCTAACAAAAACAGCATCAGCATGCCAAGAATTTGTAAATGCTTCATCGGCTTGAGTTCCTATCCAAACTACGAGCATGATTTCTCCCCTCACCTTCCATTTTCCATGTCGATCCTCCAGTCTGTACCACTGAGGAGCCAGGGGCCTATTAGGTGGACCCTTGTGGGCACCTCATTCAAGTCGTAAACCACCCTCCCTAAGTAATCGTCTCTTCCCACCATCTCTTTATCCTTCACGAAAACTTCTAATACTGATGATTGGATACGTTCCTTAGAAAATGCGTACACTTGGTTCCATTCTGGATTCATCTTTTCTAAATGTTTTATTCTTCCTTTATAGTTACGAAGTTTCACTTCAACATAAGGATCACAGCTGCCAGTGATAGGGCTAGGTGGAAGATCTTTAGCCTTAACTACTTGAACATAAAGATAAAATATTTGCTCAACAAGGTC